GTATATGGAATAGGTGGTAAGTTACTAAATGCTGTAAAGAGCTTTTATGAGGATAGTGAGGCTCAGGTTAGGGTGTGTAGAAGAGAGGGAGAATACTTCCCGGTAAAAGTAGGTCTTAGACAGGGATGTGTAATGTCACCATGGTTGTTTAATATATTTATAGATGGGGTTGTAAAAGAAGTAAATGCTAGGGTGTTCGGGAGAGGGGTGGGATTAAATTAGGGGGAATCAAATTCAAAAGGGGAATTGACACAGTTACGTTTTGCTGATGATACTGTGCTTATGGGAGATTCTAAAGAAAAATTGCAAAGGTTAGTGGATGAGTTTGAGAATGTGTGTAAAGGTAGAAAGTTAAAAGTGAACATAGAAAAGAGTAAGGTGATGAGGGTATCAAATGATTTAGATAAAGAAAAATTGGATATCAAATTGGGGAGGAAGAGTATGGAAGAAGTGAATGTTTTCAGATACTTGGGAGTTGACGTGTCGGCGGATGGATTTATGAAGGATGAGGTTAACCATAGAATTCATGAGGGAAGAAAGGTGAGTGGTGCATTGAGGTATATGTGGAGTCAAAAAACGTTATCTATGGAGGCAAAGAAGGGAATGTATGAAAGTATAGTAGTACCAACACTCTTATATGGATGTGAAGCTTGGGTGGTAAATGCAGCAGCGAGGAGACGGTTGGAGGCAGTGGAGATGTCCTGTCTAAGGGCAATGTGTGGTGTAAATATTATGCAGAAAATTCGGAGTGTGGAAATTAGGAGAAGGTGTGGAGTTAATAAAAGCGTTAGTCAGAGGGCAGAAGAGGGGTTGTTGAGGTGGTTTGGTCATTTAGAGAGAATGGATCAAAGTAGAATGACATGGAAAGCATATAAATCTATAGGGGAAGGAAAGAGGGGTAGGGGGCGTCCTCGAAAGGGTTGGAAAGAGGGGGTAAAGGAGGTTTGTGGGCGAGGGGCTTGGGCTTCCCAGCAAGCGTGCATGAGCGTGTTAGATAGGAGTGAATGGAGACGAATGATACTTGGGACCTGACGATCTGTTGGAGTGTGAGCAGGGTAATATTTAGTGAAGGGATTCAGGGAAACCGGTTATTTTCATATAGTCGGACTTGAGTCCTGGAAATGGGAAGTACAATGCCTGCACTTTAAAGGAGGGGTTTGGGATATTGGCAGTTTGGAGGGATATGTTGTGTATCTTTATACGTATATGCTTCTAAACTGTTGTATTCTGAGCACCTCTGCAAAAGCAGTGATAATGTGTGAGTGTGGTGAAAGTGTTGAATGATGATGAAAGTATTTTCTTTTTGGGGATTTTCTTTCTTTTTTGGGTCACCCTGCCTCGGTGGGAGACGACCGACTTGTTGAAAAAAAAAATATATATATATATATATAAAATACGAAATAACTTTTAAAAACACTTGAAATTTTGGAGTTTCCAGACATAGTGGAGAGACTTAGTGCTTACCGATCTCACAGAGAATATAAACAAACCAGGTGGGGCACGGTGACCGTATTAGAAAGTCAGGTGGGGGGAGCCTTAAAGAGAGTTTTGGTCATAATTTGAAATGACCGTATTAGCGGAGCGTCGTAAAGCGGGGCCCTACTGTATTGACAAAAATCAAATGTTTCCTTTACTTTGAGCTCAGTTTCGAGCTGTTTTCATTTCTCAAAGCAATCAGAATCATCTCTATTTCTGTAATATATCTTCCATTCTATCTAATGAGACGAAGAAACTGTGAGTACAACCCTTAAATCTTTATAAAAATACACCGCAAAATCGGTTTTAACCCAAAAACACGGTCGCAGTTTTTTTTCTTGCACAGCGTATTTCAGGATTTTTTTTATATGGTGCACATTTACCATATAGACCCACTCTCTCATACCTAGGCCCAAATTGACCACTCACAGCTTACCTGAGTGAGCTGAGCTCATGGTGTAGAACTACAGCACTGACACTTGGCTTTAAAGCTATAGAACTACGGCACCATCCCAGAAAGGGTTTACCTTTACTTTGCAAAGGAAGATAAGCAGAGGGTATATATACACTGGGAAGGTCCCTCACATGGACAGGTGCAGTTTGTGTCTGGCCTCACAATTCGTATATAAACATTGTCTCCAGCAAGCTCACATTTGAGCACAGTGTGTTTATTTAGGCACAGGTACACATATGTCACCCTGCCTCGGTGGGAGACGGCCGACTTGTTGAAAAAAAAAAAAAAACACATATGTACAATTATCATATACAGTGGTCCCTCAGTAATTGTCCGGTCTGAAAGTCGTCCATTTTGGAAATAGTCCCATTATTTCGTCTAAACATTGGCTCGCAAATGGTCCGTTAACTCGCTAATCGTCCTGTGTCTGGGACGCGTACTCATGCTCTGAGCCGCCTGGGCCTGCCTTCCCAGCCAGTGTGCCATTGTTTACCAGTGAGTGATGGTCCCCTCACTTGCTCCTACGAAATATTTCATAATATTCCATTGATTTTAGTGCTTGCAAGTGATAAATAAGCTACCATGGCTCCAAAGAAAGCTTCTAGTGCCAGCCCTTTGGTAAAGAATGTGAGAAACACATATTATTTATGAAAAAGTTTGTAGAAAAATACAAATGTGGTGGTGGTAGAGTGGAAGCAGTTGTGATAGTGGTTGATGGTGGTAGAAGGTAGTAGTGATGGTGGTAACAGTTGTAATAGTGGTAGAAAGTCGTAGTGATGGTGGTAGAGGGTTCCTTCTTTAGTGATTCAGCCATTCTACCAACTCCTCGAATGTTGTTGGAGTTATATAGGACTACAGAAAACACTGCCGCCTCAGCTGCTGCTTCACCACCATTATGGCCGGCTTACTCTCAGTGGCCCTTATATACCCAACAACAACACAACACAACACCTCTCGTGACATACGTAATGACTTATTTTATTCATTCGAGAGTATATTCCATGTTTCTATGTTATTAATATTGTTTATTATGTCATATTAGTTGAATTGTGATAGATAAATAAGCCATAGAGTTGATATTACTGTCATATTCTCCAACAATAAACTTCCCATCCCTCCCTCACACAAACAAGTTTCCAATAAGAACATAAGAAAGGAGGAACACTGCAGTAGGCCTGCTGGCCCATGCTAGGCCAGTCCTTCACAAATCCAACCCACTAACAGAACAAATGCTACTCAAGCAATAAGCTCAGGTGCAAGTCCGACTCAAATCCAACCCCTCTCACTCGTGTATTTATCCAACCTAAATTTGAAACTACCCAATGTTTTAGCTTCGATCACCCTACTAGGCAGACCGTTCCACTCATCAACTACCCCTATTACCAATGTTCATTTATACATTTTATTAGTGCTTTACATTTATTTGGCATTCTTTTCTGCATGTAAATCTATATTTATGCTAGAGAAGTGACCCCTAAAATGACCTAGAGTCCTTATGGAAGGGGATTCCCTTCCAAACAATAACCTCTCTTCCCTCTCTCCTCCCCCCTGTCTTCCATTCATCAACAACAGCCTTCAATAAAGGTAACTGTCATGTTGAATGTTCATTCTTTTGTGCATATAAATCTATTTTTTAGATAAAAAAAAAGTTGTTGTTGATACTTCTGGGTGTCTGGAATGAATTAATTGGATTTACATTATTTCTTATGGGGATAATTGATTCGAAAATCTTCTGTTTCGATAATAGTCCCACTTCCAGGAACGGATTAAGGACGATAATTGAGGGACCACTGTAATGTCCGTTACCTAGGATAACCCCAAAAATGTCAGATGAAGTGACTTAATGATATGAAAAGACAGCATGTATTGACTGATATGCAGGAATCAATTAATTTAATCACGAACACTGATTTGAAAGTTGTATGGGACTCTTATGGTCAGACCAGTGAGAGGAGGGATGGGAGGCTGGGGAGGAAGCTAGGTTTCCCACACAAAGTGGACTGACCCACAGGCAGACTGCCCACAAACCCATTAGATGGAGGGTAAAAATCTTGTGGTCCAGCTTGCAGTGCTTAATTTTTTTTTTCCAAGTAGTGACACCATGTTAGTCAAATTTTACGGAGTGTTAGTCGAAAATATGCTGTACTTTTGCAGTAGTGTAATAGAGATAATGTGGTAAATGAACACATGTTAATCGGCTCCTGGACAGATGGCCAACGTACATTTCGCAGACAAACATTTGGCCGAACAGACATTTCACTGACAAACATTTGGCTGAATGGACATTTCACTGATGGACATTTGGCCGAACGGATGAAATGGCATTCATTGCCTAACCTAACCTAATTTTCCGTTCAGCCAAATGTCCATTCGGTGAAATGACCGCTTGGCCAAATGTCCATCAGTGAAATGTCTGTCAGCCAAGTGTCTGTCAGTCATCTGTCCAGCCACATGTTAATCAACAGTCTCTTGTAATGGGTTGGCACTGTGCTCCAATTTCTTGAATTGACTCTGAATATCTCTCATTCCCCCAGGGAAAACCAGTTAGCTTGAATTGAGTCATGGAGGTAGACAGTACTATACAGTGCCTTCACTCTGAAGAAGGGATGGGGGATGTTGCAGTTCAGAGGGTTATCTGAGTTGTGATATCATCATCCTTTTGGGAGGACAATAATTGAATGAATGATGATGAAAGTGTTCCTTCTTTTTTGGGTCACCCTACCTTGGAAGACAGTCTGTGTATTTAAAATAAAAATAATTTAATAAGGAAAAGCATGAGAGTTGAAACATCTATGGATGGGCATTTTGTACATAAAACAAAACCACTTTTCTTACATTCAGATGTAGGGAAGAGATCATTCATTATCAGGGATAATGAAAAGTGTCAGTTGATGACTTAGAAAAGGGAGTGATAGTAAAGTCATTAGACAGTATTAATAGCATTTTAGGAAATGCTTTGTAAATCATTTGCATGAATTTGCGAGTTTCCAAAGATTTCATTACATAAATACATGCCATGCAGTGCCTAAAGATTGTGATTACCTACACTAACTACATTATGACCTTTAAGATCAACCACCGTAGAGCATGAAGTTGCTTGCCTTGATGTCTCTCCACTCTGGGAAGAAGAAATGGCTTCTGTTGTGGCTGTTGGCCTCTGGACTGACATATCTGCACGAGTTCTTGCCCTTCCTTCACTAGAAGAAAATGCCAAAGAGTTTCTTGGAGGAGGTAATGCTCGCAATAAGTTGACGTATTGCTTATCTCAGAAATGTTTTATTCTAGATAAAGCTTTAAGTTGTTGGTTTATATGAGAAAACTGGATTTAAATGTTTTATTAATAAATGTTAATGACATGCTCACTGATTAATTTTATATGGTGTATTTATTAAGGGATGAGTACATTTTAATATTTTTGTCCATGCCAGATATCATACCTCGTTCTATACTGATGACTACATTTGAAGGCCATCACTACCTTCTGTGTGCCATGGGAGATGGGCAGCTTTTCTATTTCAGTTATGCTCCATCTACTGGCTACCTGTCTGATAAAAAAAAGGTCTGATATAAACTTTAATTTTTTGTTAATATTCATCTTGCTAATTTCTTCATTTTTTTTGTCCCATTGTGTTTTTCCTTCCTTCCTTCCTTTCTTTCTTTCATTACACAATATATTTATTTCACTTCATTGTGTCATTTTTCTCTTAGTTTTCCCTGTTCTTTCCTATCAGCAATGACTACATTTGTATACTGGCTCACATGCACTTAACCCTTTCAGGGTCCGTGCCATAGTTATACGGCTTTGAGTTGAGGGTCCAAATCATAGTTCTATGCCATGAACTCAGCTTACTCTGATAAGCTGTGAGTGGTAAATTTGGGCCTAGATATGAGAGAATACATCTATGTGGTATGTGTGCACCACATAAAACAAGTCCTGCAGCACACAGTGCATAATGAGAGAAAAAAACTGAGACTGTAATTTTTTTATTAAAACAAACTTTGCAGTGTTTTTTTCGTATGTTTTTTATAGTTGTACTTGCTATTTCTTGGTCTCATTTGATAGAATGGAAGATATAATACAGAAATAGAGATGATTTTGATTGGTTTTATTACTGGAAATGGCTTGAAACTGAGCTCAAAGTAGCGGAAATGTTAAATTTTTGCCAATGTTCAAGAGTAAACAAATGACCTCGCACATCTAATACATGCCAGCGGGTGGGTCTAATATATGTTCACCAATGTGATGATATTATTTATTCAGTTATTACAATATTGCATAACAGTAAATTTTCTATTTTTTGGTTTGAATAAAAATGCATTATGTGAATAAAAAATCAAAATGGAATTAATTTGTAAAGCTTGAAAACATAACTAATGAACAGAGGAAATGTTAGTTTAGTGCCAGGAATGCCTGCATTGTTTATTCTGAACCTTATTTTGAAATTGGAATATTTTGAACTTTGCGTTAAATTGGCCAAATTACCAGTTTTCGATCACTTATTTTGTAGTTGAAACAGTTGACTTGGCAATTTCTTGTGCTCAGTCGATAGAACAGAAGTAATTCTAGTGAAATAGCTAAGAGTTTGGTTGACTGGAATAATGTAATTGGCCTAAAATGGGAGTCAAAGTCGGCAAAATCGCCAATGCGTAAATATTGCTGACACATCAAATTTTGCGAGAGCATAATTTCATCAGTTTTCCATCAAATTTTGTACTATTTGTTTTATTACCTTCAGAAAACAATTCTCTACCATTTCATAAGAAAAAATAATTTTTTTTTTTTTAAATTCTTGGACCCTGTGCACACTTCGAAATTTGGCCTCTGGACCCTGAAAGGGTTAAAAAGCTCCTGCATGCCTTGTGAACACACACACTGCAGGTGTGATCACTTGCTTCTGTATAAATATTTGGGATAAATTTTGTTTGTAATGCATTTTCTGTTTATTTATAGTAGTATAAATTATTTTACAGGTTGTTCTTGGAACGCAGCCTACTACATTGCGAAGATTCCGTTCTCTTTCTTCAACCAATGTATTTGCTTGTTCAGACAGACCTACTGTTATCTACTCATCTAATCATAAGCTAGTTTTCTCCAAAGTCAACTTGAGAGAAGTGACACACATGTGCCCTCTTAATGCAGAGGCATATCCTAACAGGCAAGTTCATTGTAATTTATGCTTGCTTTAAATAGGCAGACTTAAAATAGATGACTTTAAGGTTGGAGCCAAAAAAATAAAAAAAAAATGTATTTTATAATACACAGTAGTACCTCGGTACTTGAACGTAATTCGTTCCAGAAGGCTGTTGAAGTGTTGATCTGTTCGAGTACCAAACAAATTTTCCCCATAAGGAATAATGTAAATTAGATTAATCCATTTCAGACCCCCAAAAATACACTTACAAAAGCATTTTAATGCGAAGTTTACAAGCCTAGCATGCATAAATCTAAAAAAGAAAAAAACTAAACACAGTGCTTGTCTAAACACCATGCTTGTTTATCCAAGTGATAGACATAAGAACATAAGAAAGAAGGAACACTGCAACAGGCCTACTGACCCATGCGGAGCAGGTCCATGTCCCCACCCCGGGCTAGATCAATGACCCCCCCCCCCCCTCCAAGGATGGAGCACTGCACCAGACCCAGCAGCACAAGCTAGTCAGGTCCAACTCACACCCACCCACACCCACTCATGTATTTATCTAACCTATTTTTAAAACTACACAACATTTTAGCCTGAATAACTGTACTCGGGAGTTTGTTCCACTCATCCACAACTCTGTTACCAAACCATTGCTTTCCTATATCCTTCCTGAATCTGAATTTTTTCAACTTGAAACCATTGCTGCGAGTCCTGTCTTGGCTGGAAATTTTCAGCATGCTATTTACATCCCCTTTATTTATTCCTGTTTTCCATTTATACACCTCGGTCATATCCCCCCTAATTCTATGTCTTTCAAGAGAGTGCAGATTCAGGGCCCTCAGTCTATCCTCATACGGAAGATTTCTGATACATGGGATCATCTTTGTCATCCTCCTCTGTATGTTTTCCAGAGCATTTATATCCATTCTGTAATATGGTGACCAGAATTGAGCAGCGTAGTCTAAATGAGGCCATTGCATCAGTCTATTCAAATCATCCTGGAGTGCTCTAGTGTCCTCATTAGAATGAATTGGACGGCCTATTTTGGTGTCATTAGCAAATTTGCTTATGTCGCTATTTATTCCCTCATCTATGTCGTTTATGTAAATTGTGAACAACAACTGGCCCAACACTGACCCCTGAGGAACACCGCTTGTGACGTGCCCCCATTCTGATTTCACCCCATTTATGCAAACTCTGCTGTCTGTTTGTCAGCCATGCCTCTACACAGGAAAAAATTTCTCTTCCTATTCCGTGTGCCTTAAGTTTCCTCAATAGCTCTGGTGTGGAACTCTATTGAAAGCCTTACTGAAGTCCATATACACAATATCATATTCATTACCATGATCTACCTCCTCAGACACTTTAGTGAAAAAAGTTAGTAAATTCGTAAGACAGGAACACCCCTTTGTAAAACCGTGTTGAGATTCATTAATCAATCTGTGCCTGTCAAGATGGCTACGAATTGCTTTGGCAATTATTGATTCCATAAATTTTCCCACTATCGAGGTAAGGCTTATTGGTCTATAGTTCGAAGCTAAGGACCTGTCACCTGCCTTCTAAATAGGTATTACATTTGCCATTTTCCACTTATCAGGCACAATGCCAGTTTGTAGTGATACGTTAAAAAGATTAGCCAAAGGTATGCTAAGTTCCTCTTTACATTCCTTTAACACCCTTGCAAATAGTTCATCAGGACCTGGGGATTTGTTAGGTTTTAGTTTCTCTATTTGCCTGAGGACCATGTCACTAGTTACCGCAATCATACATAGTTTATTATCATCCTGTTCTACATAATCTATTATTTCAGGAATATCACTAGTATTTTCCTGGGTGAAAACTGAGAGGAAGTAGGTATTGAGAATTTCACACACATCTTTATCACTGTCAGTGATCTGACCAGAGTTACTCTTAAGTGGGCCAATCTTGTCCCTAATCTTACTTCTGTATACCTGAAAGAATCCTTTTGGGTTAGTCTTTGAATCCCTTGCGACCTTAGCCTCATAATCCCTTTTTGCTTTTCTTATTCCTTTCTTTATTTCTCTCTTTAATTGAATATATTGATTTCTTAACTGCCCATCCTCTCTTTTGATATGCCTATACATGTATATGCCTCTCTTTTGACCAGTGACATGTTTTAATCTATTGTTCATCCATTTGGGATCATTTTTGTTAGATCTAATTTCCCTACTCGGGACAAAAGTTGTCTGGGCACCTAGAACTATGCTCTGAAAAGCGTCATATTGGCAACCAAGATCACCTACCTGACCCATAGTCAGGACATCCCAATTTAGCCCACCCAGGTGATTTTTCAGTCCCATGAAGTCGGCCAAGCGAAAATCTGGGACAGATTTGATTGCAGTTACCTGGGTAATTCCATGATATATTGAAACTAAGTGATTTGTGATCACTTTCCCCAAGCTCATCATTGACCTCAAGATTATTAATTAGTGACTCTTTGTTGGCAAGAACCAAGTCAAGCAGATTGTTTCCTCTAGTTGGTTCTGTCACAACCTGTTCTAAAAAGCAATCCTGAACCATATCAAGAAAGTCACTAGACTCAAGATTTCCTGTCATATTGTTCCAATCAATTTGTCTAAAGTTAAAATCTCCCATTATCACAACATTTTCATATCTAGATGCCTTATGAATTTCGTCCCATAACAGCTTATTGCCCTCCCTATCAAGGTTTGGGGACCTATAAATCACAGCCAAAATTAATTTGTCACGTCCCTCGAAAAAGTGTAGCCAAACAGATTTTGTGTTCGATGTTTCTAATCATATCATGTCTAAAGACAACAATTTAAATTTTATCTGACATACATTGCCACTCCACCACCCTTCCTGTTGACCCTATCAGTGTGGAATAGTTTATAACCCTGTATGTTGCATTCAGAAGGCATTTCTCTATCTTTCAGGTTGAACCAGGTCTCTGTTATACCAATAATATCTATATTACCTACACTTGCAAGTAATCTTAGCTCATCTATCTTATTTCTTAGACTCCTACTATTTGTATAGTAAACCTTAAGGGAGCTAGTCACTCGTTGCCCTCTACTATCTCTCTTTGTTTGTTGATCAGTTGATTTGCCATTACTAGCAACTTTATTTTGAATATTGTTTTTTGAACATATCCCTGAGGTATCCCGGTAATAACTGCTGTTTTTAACCCTAATGCTGCAGCCTGATTGTTTGCCACATACACCCATACCTCTATAATCTATCAGTTTAAATTCCTAGATAAGTCATCTATCACCCTCTCAATTGAATTGGCTAATGCAACCACTCCATCCCCAGAGAGATGAACCCCATCCCTTGCATATATATCACGTTTGCCAAAGAATAGGTTCCAGTTATCAATGAATGGGATTGCAAGTTCCTCGCAGTACCTGTCTAGCCAGCAATTTATACCAATTGCCCTAGACATCCATTCATTGCTTACTCCCTTTCTAGGCAAGATGCTACATATGACTGGGATCCCTCCCTTAGATCTAACTACTTCTATGGCTAACCTGTACTTATCCAGCAGCTCCTCTCTCCTGCCCTTCCCAGTGCCATTACCCCCAGCACTAAGACATTTAATGGGCTTGTTCCCATTACCTGCCATAATATTATCAAGCAAAGGCTTCACTTTTAGATCACCACTTGCATTCCTGTACAACAAAAGAATGAGTCTGTCCTTCATTTGCTAGTGTCCTGGCAGTGACTTCTCCTTTTGAGTGATATAGGTTCTGTTTGGCATTTTTTTCCCCAAAATAACCCTGTCTCATCACAATCGACTATGTACAGGCTGAGGGAATAAAACCCTCAGCCTGTACATAGTCACTAAACTCAATGACGTATTTCTCGGCAGCAGGCCATGTTTGTTTTTTTTGAGTGCCAAGCAAACAGTTGACTACTGCGATTTTTTTTTTTTTACTGAACAAAGTGTTCAAATACCGAATTATTTGAGTTGGGAGCTGTTTGAGTACCGAGGTACTACTGTACTTTTTTGCTGTATATATAGTGCATCTGTATTCCAAAACCAATTGGTCGTTGAGGCAGTACCATAGCAGTTTGTGTTTATGGTTATATGATGAAGCACTCAGATACTTCCAGGAAAATAAGTGAAATGTTGAGAAGGTAGGAAAGTTCCTGATTGTAAAAATACTTGAGTTTTATTTAAGCAGTGGTTATTATGGTAGGAGGAAACAATTTTTTTCACTTCAACAACAACAGATGCTGGTGATGTGGAGGCTATCTACTCAAATACGATCTTGGTTTAGGATAGTTTGTGAAATTAAGATTTATGATTCTCAGTTACTGTATATGCAAGATAGACATCCTATTTCAGCTAGACCTGAAACCAGAGGAGGTACCCATAGAACTCTGAAAGACAACAAAAATTAACGTAAAAACATGCACTTGGTCATAGACAGTACGTAATAATAGACAACTGTCAAAATACCCAATAAGTGTTATATTTCTTTCTTTTGGTTTCATACAATTAGTCCATATGTGCAAAATGGGTAGATATTATTTCTGCTAACATACATTTTATATTTGATCTGGTTCCAAGTCATGAACCAAATTACATCATTAGCTATTATGTCAAAGACCTATGACTGTACTTTGGTTACTGTCTTTAATGGGTACCAGACATGATAAATTATACACCCACATTCAATAAATTTGCCTAATACAATACTGTACATCTGTTTGAGGCTTAGGACAGCTTTCTTGCTTGCTGTAGCCTCTAGAGTCTAGACTGAGAGTACAGGCAGACTCCACTTTACAGCATTTTTCTAATACAGCAGTTTTCAGTTATATCCATTCTTCATTTATTCAGACTTCCTACAATAAATGTATTCACCACTAATTATAAGGTGAGAATGGAAATATTTTAAGCTAAGTAATACAGTGGAGCCCTGGTTTTCGTCTTTATCTGTTCCAGAAGGTTGGCCGAAAACCGATTTGTATGAAAACTGAAGTAATATTTCCCATAAGAAATAATGTAAATCCAATTAATCCGTTCC